ATATAATATAATATTATTATATATAATATACATTTAATATAATAATTATTTTATTATATATTGTATAATATAATATATTAATATAATCTAATATTATATAAATATTACAAAATACTATATTATATAATAGTATGTTATAGTGATATTATATTATATCATATAAATAATATCAATATTATGTATTTGATCAACAAAAATGTTATGAAAAAATGTTATCATATAAAATAATGGGAACTTTGTCGGAAGGTTATTTTTTGAACTTTTAAATGGAAACCATGTGTCAAACACGGAACTTTTGAAAATTTAGAAAGATTTATTTTTGAAATAAATATATCTTAAAAACAATCGTGCCCTTAGAGAGAGAAAGAGAGAGAGTGTATGTATTTTGAATCACCCCAATTGGACATATGTGTGAAAACTACTATACAACTAATGTGTACTTCTAAATTTTGTTGGCTTGAAAATCTAATAGCCTTTCATAATCCATCGATTGTAATTCTTTCATAAGGAAGTGATCACATTAATTTACAATTACTGTACATTATAAGCAAAAGTTATTGTTTATTTGAATGATTTGTTATTCATATTTATGATTGCTTCCCAATGATCTCATTTTAGTTTTGAACATCTTCCCGATTGCATAAAATCAAGAAACCCAACAACCACTAACAAGCTATTCTCTCCAAAGCCTCGTTCCCAAACGGTGACTTCTTTGTTCTCTAAAGGTATAAAAGCCAATAGTCATACTAATGATAATAAAAGTACGAATTTTTTATATTTTCTCATTGTTTGTCATAATATATTTAATAAAACAGTTGATAAAACCACTAATCAATTACTTAATATAGAATAGTCCATGCATGCACACATCAACCTACCAAAAGTCAATAGAATTGGCCCCATACGTATATGCGTTTTTTTTTATTGTCATTATTATTATTATCATGCATGTTGTACTTCTATGAAATCAAATTGCATAGATTCATTTTTATGTAGTACAATGTTTAATTGTTTCTATCTTATTTGTCGAACAGTCTCAAAATTCAAAACTAATATTTCACAAAGCATTTTTATACCAATGACAAATACTACTTTTCATCATCAAACCAATTCTCCAATGACAATAATTATTTCCATTCAGCTAGAGTGATCCTCATGTAATATTGACAAAGACAATGGTAAAAACTAAAAATGATTGTCATTATGTACAAATTTCCTTTACATATTTTTTGATAAAAAATTATAACAAATTATAAATTTTTGTTAATTTTTCTTTTTAATTAAAACTATTTCCCCATATTATCCTAGTTAAAAAAAATTAAATTTTAAAAGGTAACTCATGATTAATTATATTTTTTATTAATAGATCTCCTTGGTCATTAAATAATCGGTTAATCCGTCGCAAGGAATTACATATGTGCGCACGAAATTCAACTAGAAATATGTAGTATTCCACTAGAGTTCATGAAAGTAGGGGTATAGTAGTTATTAATTTGAATAGTAGGGTTATTTGTACCAGTTCAATAACCGCCATTGATTCGCAAATTGATAATCCCAACAATAGGAGACAAGAGAATGGGAAATGACGGAAATACCCCTGATTACCGCCATGTTGATTCAATTTTGATATGTAAAATTGTTTCATGCGGGTTAGATCGCATATTTACATATGCGTTCCTGAAAGTGTAAAACATCCATTTTAAAAATGGATGCAAACAGGTGTTCTATTTAAAAATAGTGGAAGCAGACCGTCCAAATGTTTTTTTACTAAAATTTTTATTTTAAAATTTTAAATTTTATTTATTCTTATTCATGATCTCCATGTTAGAGATTACATATCCTTAAAAATTAAGTCTTAAAATCCATCTCAAAAATAGATTTATTAAGAGGCCCGCATTTCTACATATGCGAGCTTAGCCTTATCGAAACCAGGCCTTTTTAATATATCTAAAATAGCCCAACTTTTCTTTGTGTGACCAAACTACCCTCAACTTTTTGTAACTCAAATTATTTAGTGAACATACAAATAACATTGTTATGCTACAATCAGGGGGCCAAAGGTCTCAAAATTAGTTGCAAATTGTAGAAATGCAGGCTTGACAATAAATATATTTTTTAAATATAATTTGATCCTTATTTTTAGATAATATATAATCTTTAACATGAATATGAAAAAAATTAAAAATAATAATTATATTAAGGAAACAATTGGATCATTAGTTACCATTGGTTTTAGATGGGTCACCTATTTGCATCCTCTGGACTGCATATTGTAGAAATGCGGTCTAGACCGCATGAAAAATGTAGAATCATATATGCACCTCAAAAATATAACAGAAATGTTGTTTTAATGTTAAAAAAACCCTCTAATCGATCATCTCGACATCTAGATGCATGAATATAAAAAAAATAAATTGAGTATCGAAAATAGTGCATCTTGCAACACATTATCTAGACCGTCAATTTTCAAGATTTT